AAAAATCAGTGTATCACCAACATTTTAAAAATATATTGCCAATATCCTTTACATTTCACCTTAGTTACATCTACCTCCTTTTTCCTAGAAGTAAAAACACACCTTATTTTTGTCATTAATTTTACTTTTCTTTGTAATGCATCCTTAAACAATATACTTAAGAGTTTTTTCCCCCTATTCTTGAACTATAATATTAATGGAATCTAAAGTGTGAATTCTTTCATAACATGCTTCTTTTGCTAACACTTTATTTTGGTATTTATCTATGATGATGAAGTCTGCAGTAGTTCATTCATTTTCCTAGTTTTAAGTGTTACAAGTTAAAAAAAATCACAATTTATTCACTTTATTATTGCCCCTTATACCAGGCAAAATAACCGCTCCCACCCCAAAGACGTCCAGACCCTAATTCCTGAAACCTGGAAATACAGCAGAACCTCTGTGAGTTGGCCACCCAAGGAACGGTAACAAACAGGTCAACATACAGAGGAGGGCAACACATGGAACTTCTGCTGAGTACATGTGGCGCATGTCTGGTCTATGAAAATTAAGTCAACTTAAGGAAGGTCAGTCAATGTAGGGAGGTGGTCACTACAGACCTCCTACTGTATGTTATTTTTACATGGCAAAAGAGACTTGAGAGATGTGGTAAATGATCTTGAGATGGGATGACAATACTGGATTATTCAAGTGGGACTAATCTGTAACAGTTAAGAATGTCAGAGAGAGACTAAAAGATGGCGTACTGCTGGCTTTGAAGATGAAGGAAGAGATCACAGGCGAAAGATCATGAAAAGCTCTAGAAGCCTGGAAAAAGACTCCAGAGAAAATGCAACTTTGCTGATGCCTTGATTTTAACGCCATAAGAACCACTTTCAGATTTCTGATACTCAGAACTACAAGATAATAAATTTATGTTGTTTTAAGTCACTAAATTTGTGGCAATTTGTTATACTCAATAGCAGCAATGGAAAATTAATACAATCCGTATTTGTTTTCAGATTTGACTAAAGAACAATGCTATATGAATATTTCTTACACATATTCCAGTATACATATGAGTTTCTCCAGATTTTATGTTTAGGAGTGGAACTGCTATTAAGTACATTTTCAGCTTCCTTAGGGAATGGTAGGCTGATTTCCAAAATATTTGCACCAACTTACTATCCTACTGACAACGGATGGGAGTTACTGTCAAACCATAAATTCTTACCAATATTGAATATTAATCTATGCTTTCATTTTTGCCAATCTAGTGAGCACGAAAGGGTATCTTTATTTGCACAAATAAGGTACAATGTTCTTATGTTTTATAAGACATTTGTATTTCTTCTTCCTTTTTTTTGAGACAGAGCCTCAAGTTATTGCACTGGGTAGAGTGCTGTGGCATCACAGCTCACAGCAACCTCCAACTCCTGGGCTTAAATGATTCTCTTGCCTCAGCCTCCCAAGTAACTGGGACTACAGGCACCTGCCAC